TCTCATTTTATAGATAAGAAAACTGAGGGTAAGAGAAGGGAAGTGATTTTCCTATGGTTGGGCTATAATTTAAATCTAAATCTCAAGATTTTAAGTTTATTCTTTTTACTATATTATAATGTTGTTGCTCAGTCATTTCAGATATATGACTCTTTGTGACCCCATTTGGAGTTTTCTTAGCAAAGATACTAAAGTGGTTTGCCACTTCTTTCTCCAGCTCATTTTACAGATGAGGAAACTAAAGCAAACAAGGTTAAGTTACTTGCCCAGGTCATACAGCTAGTAAGTATCTGAGGCCGTGAACTAACATCTTCCTGACCTCAGGCCCAGCTCTCTATCCTGCTCCGCCTAGCTGCCTGATGCTTTCACAAAAATTGCCTACTACATATATACACCATTTCCTGCAATCATGCCACTGATGTCAAAAACTTTCAACAGTTTCTACTGCCTCTGGAATAAATTCTGATCTTGGCACTCAAGTCATGCCATAATATAGCTCCAATCTGACTTTCCAGCCTTATCTAACACTATTCCCCTTCAAATACTCTGAGTTCAAGTCAAATTGGCATTTACTTACAAACTAAGTGCTTACCTTTCCTCACAATTGTCCCACCTTCTTACATCTTTGTGCCTGTACTCATAGCATCTTCCATGCCTTAGAAGGGGCACCTTTTCCCTACCATTCTCTACTTGCTGATGCCACTATTTCCCTTCAAAGCCAAATTGAGATGTTACCTTATCTATGACTCTTCCTTTAGCCTTCCCATGTAAGAATACCTTCCTCCTCAAATTTTTCAAAGTACTTTATATAGATCTCTATTTTGTACTTATCTTACTCTTACTTATAGTTATATGTGACAACTACACATCCCTTTCCTCATTAATTTATAGGCTTCTCAAAAACAATGTTTATATCACATCTGTCTATGTGTTTTCAATATAAGCACTGGACCTTGCACATATAGATACTTAAGTGTTTGCTGAATTGAAAAAATATTCTGGCAGTGGTGTGAAGAATGGAATTCAGTGGGGGAAAGAAAGAGGTGATACAGTGGATATAGCCAATAGATTTAGTCAAAAGACCTACTGGATCTGCTAGTTACTACCTGTATAACCATGGCCAAATCACTTCTCTCTGGGCCTTGGTTTCCTCCTTTGTAAAAAGAGAAGGTCAGACTAGATGACTTATAAAGCTTTTCCAACTTTAAATCCTATGGTGCTATAGAAATGATGAGAGTGGTGAAGGTCCATAGCCAAATTCCATAAACACAGGATGATTTGTGCCTTGGCAACCAAGGGGCAGACTAGTGGCCACACATATCAGGAAATATAATGTAAGAACAAGAAGTTTTTCTTGTGAAAGTCCTTTGATGTGTTTATAACAAAACAGGAAAGAACAAGGATCAGTTAAGCACCTCCTATTTATCATCCATAAAGGAAAACAATCAATACATAGTGAGAGCAAACAGAATAAAAACATGCAATTTCCTTTTATGCAAAAAAAGCCCCACTATTTTATTGACAACTAAATCTTGAAATGTAAAACACTACACATAGATGGAAAGTGCACTGGGGAGAGATTCTGTATTGATGTGTTGCTATTTCTAAGGATGGCAGCACTCTGGATGATTTTCATGGCTTTTATCTTTCAGGTGTTTGATGGATCATAAGAAGTATTAAGTCCCCATCTTACCAAACAAAATTGAGAAAAATGCAATGGACTGAGGGGCCACATCTGGATTCACCAAGAGAAGGTCACCAGAAGATCTCAGGCTAAAATACCCTTTATATACTTTTTTCTCCCCAACAACCAAAAGAGAGTAAAAATGGACTCCTCTAACATGGAATAAATATTAGTAATATGGGGATATAAAAGGCAACAATAGCTGGACTTTTTTAATTCTCAAATTATAGGGGACCCAGAGCTTAACTAAAATTACCACCATTTTTTTCAGTTATTCCTACAGCCAATCAAGACTCTGTGATGATGACATGTGAAATACAATGAGATATTTCAGGCAGCCATGAGATCAAACTTACGATTCAGTAACAGGCAAACGTGTTTCCTAGACAGATCTTTCTCCCATTTCCTCCTCTCCTCAAATCAGTAAGAATACATATTCTCTTTCTTTATGTAATATTTCTATTGGTGGGACAGAAAATCCCACTAAGCTTGAGTCAGTCTTTGGTTAGACTACATTATAGCATTCTACAATACTCATAGTTATTAATGAATTAATTTCAAGAACAAGGCTGAATGGAGGCTAGCATAACATCTATTTAGGTATGACCAATGCTTTATTGAATTCCTATTGACACATTAAAGGTGAACTCAAATACTCTATTCCATGAAACCTTCACTGATCTTCCTCATCGCCACCACCTCTCCCTGCCCATTGTCCTGTATAATATTCTCTTTGCATCTCTCTTATGAACATTGATACTTGGATGAATCCATGATCTCACTGGTGGAGATACTCCCTCTACTGGTGCAGATCAAACATCTCTCCACACTTCCTATCCTGCACAATTCTCCATACCTATCTATGAACTTTCTGGAAGAGCTACCTAACCAACATGAAGAAAGTCTTCTTTTGGTTCATTTAACAATTTGCAAAGTTCCATATTTGGGCCAATCACATTCCCCTTTGCTCCTCTGCCATGACCAGTCTACCTTCGCTTTTGGCCATGTATATTGCTGATGGTATTTTTGCACTATTTCTTATTAGTGGCTTATGCACCTATCATGTATCGATATATCTATATTATATATAATACATATCACAATATATAATATATCTATATGATATATAATATATCTATATTATGGCTATCTATGCACATGTCAAAATGATCTATCAGACTGTGAGCTACATGAGGAAAAAATTCATATTTTAGCCAAATCTTGCAATTTGATTCAACAAGTATTTATTAAGGGCCTAGAATATGCCATGCCATTCACTATGCATTGTACACAAGAGGAAAGCACAGCACATTCTGAAACATCACTAAATTTTCCCTAGAATGCTTTCACCTCCCCATGGTATATATAGGGGCTTTTTCTTACCAATGACCTCATTGGGATATAAGCCTAGTAGTAGAATTTCTAGGTCAAAGTATATAAAGATTGTAGTTATTTTGCTGGCATAATTCCAGTTGAAAAACAGCTAATGATAAATACTGCTTGCTCCCTCTTCAGCAGTAAACATATGAATTTAGCCTTTGTGGACATAGCAGCACTAAAAAAAAGTTTTATTGATATCTTTTGTTTTTTATATCATAGCCTTCCCAATTCCCTACTCTATGTAAATTTTCCTTGGAACAAAGAAAAACAGTTAAGCAAAACAACTGACAGTCACTGCTTGTGAGGCTCCACACCCACAGTGTCTACCTCTCTAATGAAAAGGGGGAGTGTAGCAATGTATTGTTAGTCAAGATAACCAAAACCTGAAACAATTGTGTTGTGAACAAATAACGGTTTATGAACATAATGGACTAGTATTATATCACAGTGAATTACAAGATTAAAGAATAAACTTGGGAAGAATTATATGAAGTGATGCAGGGCAAGAAAAATAATGTCAAAATGATAACATTCACTATGACCACAACTATATAGTCAAAATAGAGAAGCGATAAAACTGTGATCAAATACAATGGCCAGTGTTATTACCATACTGACAAAGTTAGAAGACACTTTCCTCTTTAAGTTACTCATCAACTATTAAACTACTTCCTCATGGAATGTATTTTGTAAAAGAATTTGTTTGGGCATTTGTTAGGATGTATCTGTTGTGTCAAAAAACAAGATGTACATAAAACCTAAAGTACAGAGAAAAAATTCAGTAAAAATTTATAAACCAAAAAAAAAAAATTTTGCATTTACCACCACCATATAGCTATATTACTGGTCCTGATTGGTGGTGTGATTCCTGTGTTATCTACTTTCAAGGCTGGTATTCCATTACATAAAAATTCATTCTTCCTATTCTGAAACCCAGTCTAGTCACAAAAAACACTTTACAAACTTTAAAGAGCTATAAAAAATGAGCTATTGCCTGGGGTGGTGGGGAAAGCCTGTAATCCCTGATACTAGAGAGGTTGAAGTTGGTGGATTATTTGAGTTTAGAAATTCTGAACTGCAGTGTGCTAAGCTGATCAGTGTGCTAAGCAGTGTGCACACCAAGTCTAATACCCATATGGGGAGCACCTGGAAGCAAAGGCAACCAGGTTCCCTAAGAAAGGACAGAACAGGTCAAAACTTTGAAGCTGATTCAGTCAGAATGAGATAGGGAGATTCACTCTCCTCCCTTCCTCTACCCAAAAAAAGAGCTATTAAAAAAAAAAAGCCCTTAACAGTTTACAAAACACTTTCCTAATAACAACCCATTTGTTTTTGTATCTCCAGTCCTTAGCAATGAGAAGGCACTAAATAAAAGGTTTGTTGACTGATGGCTAGCTATGTAGTCCAGTATTCTTATCTCTGTTTTATAACTGAGGAAACTTAGGATCAATGAATGGAGATTACTTGCTCAAGGCCATATCAATAAGAAGTGAATGCAAGATCTTAGAATTAGAGTTGGAAGGAATGTCCATCCAGCTCCCTCATTTCTAACGAGGAAACTGTCCTAGAAGGTTAAGTAATTAACCCAAGGTAACGAATCACAAAGCTGGTAAATAGTAGCTAGAGACAGTCTTTAAAATCAAATCCTGTGACTGAATCCAGTTAACTGTCTTTTCACTGCCCCATACTGATTGGACTTGAACCTGAGGCCCAGCTTTAAGGTGAGGGCTTTTTTTTTTTTTTTAAAACCTATGCTTCATTAACTGGCTCTTAGGAAGATTCTGGGTACAGAGCCAGGAGATGCTTGTTAAAGTTCAAATAGTACTTTAATGCTTTTCTTGAAGTCATGAAGTATACAAGGATCATTTCTTCCCCTGCTGGACTCCTGGCAGAGAACACAGTTACAGGAGTCATCCTATTTACATTCTCTACTTACAGTGCTCAGCTTGCTGCTGCTGATGAGGATTCGTCGTTCATACAACATACTGGCATAGAGGTGTAGCATGTTGTTGACATCCACAGCCACAAAATATTCAGTCAGATTTCTCTAGGAGGTATAAAAAAGAGTTGGTTGTGTTTTGATTTTATCCTTAATTATAAACATTAACAGACAGTGGAAGTACATGAAACAGAAACAACTTAGTACTCTGGAATCCACTTGCAAGGTACCATTTCCAAATTGGAGGACAGAGTTAACAGGCCACATGGGTCAACCTTTAAGATTCATCACGGTACTATTGCCAATGTTGCCATTCATCTCCCTTCCATTTCACATTTGGTTCTAAATTGAGAAGTCTAGGACTTTGGAGGCATTATTGTAGATGCACAGGTCTAACATCTTAGACCTGAGAGGTTACCTAGCCTATCCAATTCACCTAATGCATGAATCTTTTACCTATCTCCTTGCCTTTGCTCATACTATTTTCCTTGTAATGTGGTCTCCCCTGCCCCTCCTCCTTTTATGCTGAAATCCCAATCATCAAGGTTCAGCTTAAATACCACCTCCCCCAGCAAAGTCTCCTCTGATCCCTCCAGCAGGTGAAAGTGAAAGCTCCCTCTCTGGAGCTCTCAAGCACTGAGGTTCTAGTTTGTATAATAGCTTCTTATGCATGTCTTCTTTCCCCTACTGGGCTGTAAACTCCACAATGTCAGTATCTGATTAATCTTTGGGTCTCTTCAAATGCCTAGCACAGGGTCTTTGCAACACACAGTACAAGGTTGATAAATGTTGAATGAATTAAATTACATTGTAAAATTACTTTAATGATATTAGATCACATTTACATAGGACTTAAATATTTACAAAGCATTTTTCCCCAACAATCCAGTGAGGTAACACTGTCGTCCTGATTTTACACATGAGGAAACTGAGGCTTAGCAACGTTAAATGACCTGCCCCAGGGTCACATGACTACAAAGTGTTGGAGCTAGGATTTAAACCCATGCCTACTGACTTCAAGTTTAGTAATCTTTCCACTACCAAGACTGCATCATGTTTTACTAGAAGAGATGAGAATACAGATAGTAAGAACAAGGAGTAGCATTGGAGATAATTTAGTCCAGCTTTCTCATTTTACAGATGAGGAGACTGAAGCTCAAAAAGGGAAAATGGTTTGTGCATGGCACATAGCTAGTGACAGGCAAGAAGAGAACCAGATTGTGACAAGGCAGCATTCTAGGGAGCTTTTTCAGTAGGTTGCCATTCACTCTTTGAAACAGTACTTTCAATTCCAAGAAAAATATTCAAGTGTTTCATTATGCCCTACTCCTAGGTCTTTAATAGGTATGTGGACATGATTGTTTCTTCAGAGCTACATGGGCTTTCAATGTCACACAATACATTCTCCCAGAAATAAAGAAAAGTTCTCTGTACCAGAAGCTGCAATTTATAATGATTAGGGATTTATAACCGAACAAATTCAAGAGAGCTGAGAGGATTTTACATGCAAATAGCACAATGTGCATTACAACAATTGAAACAGTTGGGAATAAGCATGGGCATTTATCTTATGATTCATTAGTGTTCAGATGAAGTACTGTATTAAGCAGAGAACCTCACAAATTGAGAGGTTTAATTTTGTAACAGATCAAAAATTACAAAGTAAGCACCACATTTAGAAAAAGTGTCCTCCAACAGATGTAGTCCAAAATGTGGCAATCAGCAGAGAAACCAATCAGCAAAAAGAGAATGTTGTGCTGCAGAAAGAGCATGGCGGGAGAAGCCAGAGAACGTGGCTCCTGTCTTGGCTCTCTGAGTACTATTTGTATCACAGCATGAACATCACTGTTCTAGACTTGAGTTCCCTCATGAGTAAAATGAGAGGCTTGGATTAGATAGTGACTAATGTCCCTTTGGCTCCAGTATTTTAAAACTACCTGATCTAGTTTGACTTTAAACCTTGATGTGCTACATTCAATGGCATACCAGTCTATGTCTTAAGATCCTTCCATAGTAACACTCTGTGCTTGCACATGGCATATTCTATGCTCCAACATTTTAGTTACTATGATCCCTTATATTCTAACAATTTATGATTATGTGAAATTTGATGGGAAAAGTAAATAGCATTCCAAGTCAGTCAACAAGAGCATCTCCTGCTGGATGAAGCAAGAAGGACTGCGCTAATGATGTCAGGATAGGGCTCCACTGTAGACGCTCACATGGCAGAGACCTTCTCGCCAACACACACGTGTAGACAAAAATATAGGGTGGATGAAGATTTTAGTAGAAGCTTAACTGTCGATGAAATGTGTAGATTTCTTTTTTCTTTCAAGAAAAAGAAAAATAGGATTGAGGAGCTTAAAGGAGCCCAGAGAGCCCATTAGCACTTTTGACAGATCCAAAGATAACTCTAAAGCCACCAATACGTGGCCTGAGGAGTCTGCCAAGAAGTTTCATACTGTGCAAAAATATGTTCCCCAGCTTGCCATCCAAATATGAAGAAACAGCGTTAGAGACAAATTTTCAGCCTTATTTTGCTGGGATAAGAGAGAAAAAATCCGTAATTGTAAAAATACACTTGAAAAGTAGGGAAAAGAATGGATTAACAAGTAAACCTATATTGGTTAATACAAGAAATACCCTCAGAAACCATATGCTAACAGACTCAGATGCTTGTTGTAAAAGCAACACACAGGTATATTAAAAATATATAACATTTAGCCAAATCCCCTCTAAACTGTCATGTACTTTTTCGGTATTTCTCATCCCATCTGTGCTGATTACCAAGATATTTGTGTCTAAACAGAAGCTGTCTCCTTTATCTGCTTCCTCCCCCTGCCTGTTTCCTTCTGGGATATCACATGCCTGAGTCTATAACTGCTTGAATGGAAGAGATGGGTAAGAACTCTAGTAGCCCAAGGCCCCTGTAAAGTTAGGGGCACTTTAGACTTGAGAAGACATTAGGAAATTGAGAAATAGTATCTTTATCTTCTTTCTATTCCTCTTCCTCATGGCAAAGTCATTAGGACATTCAAGATCACTATACTCTGACTTCAAGATTGGTACTGAGTGGGAGAGAACATAGAGGAGGATGAGGTGGGGAAGAAGAGAAAAGAATAAAGGGAGAGAAAAGGAAAAGAAAGAGGAAGAAGGAAGAAATAGAAAAAAGAAATGAAAGAGAAAGAAGAAAAAGAGAAAGAAGAGGAGATGGGAAAGGGGGAGCTGGAAGAGAGGAATTGCAGGGGGGGAGAATAGAGGATACAGGGGATGAGAAGATATAAGAATAAAGAGAAAAGGAGATGAAGGAGTAGCAGATGAAAAATAAAGAGGAAGGAAGGGAAAAGAAGGAAAATGAGGAAAATAAGAAAGGGCTAGAGACAAAAGAGATGAAAAATGAGGAATGAAAGAAGCATAGGGACCTAGAGGAAAAATATTTGGATATTGTGGAAGACAGTCTTTCCAGCATAGTTCTAACCCCAAATTGATCCTCCCACACCAATATTAGTCAACTTTTTGATCATTTCACTGTGTTTAGTGACTTTTAGGACCATATCCACTATGAATAATTGAGGTCTAAGTTTCTTCTCATAAAATGAGGGGAAAGGAATCGTTTTCTAAGGTACTTTCTTTCTTTAACATTTGATGATCTTATGACTCACAAAACTCCTTTTAGAACAGTCTACCAGGCAAGAATGTTTTATACTCTTTCAATAGGTTTATTTCTGAAACATGACATTTGTTCTGATTATGCCACAAAGCAAGTCTTCAAATGCTTTCCCTAAGTTGGTATTATATTGTTAGATCTTCATGGATAGTTTATTACTTTTTTCAGGGGAATTGAGTATATATTATAAATTCTGAGTCTAAAATGTTTAAGAAGGAAATGTCTTAAAAGTTTAAGAAAAAGCCCATTCATTAGATTTATAAAACATAAAATGTTGGAGCTGGGAAGGATCTTAGAATATTAGAACATAAAAATTTAGAAGCATTGAGGACCTTATCAGAATATTAAAAGTATGACAGGTTTAGAATTAGAGCTTGAAGGGGTCTTAAAAATTTTTAGTCTAATCCTCTTTTTTTTTTTAATTAAAAAAAATTTAAATTATAGAAGGAAACTGAGACCTAAAATGCAAAGGCATAATTTGAACCTATGTCTTCTATCTCCAAAATTCAGGGCTCTTTCTACCTAATTATGATGCCTCCCTCTGTTAAAACAAAGAACAGCAAACGAAGAAAGAAGCTCAGATACCACAGAGTAAAACCACCATTTTATGAATGACAAAATTGAGGCCCTAAAGGGGAAGTGACTTGAACCAGGTCATAAAGTGGCAGAGTTGAAACTAGGGCCTACATCTTCAGAAAGTCAGTCCAGTGCTGTTTAATAAGGACTCAAGTCAGCAATAAGATTTATCAGAAAGAAAGCAGAGATTAGCCGGAGTCATTCTTCTCTACCAATGTAAAAACTATTTCAATAAACAATTACCTGACAATCTCCCTATGTGATAATGGATTGACTGCAATGAACTCCATTTGTTTATTTTTGGATGTCACTAAGAGTTCATAAATCTTGTCTGTATCACAGAGAATCTTCGGGAAAAGTGACACCTCAGTGATGTTATATGTAACTGTCCCTTCTAAATGCTTTCTATGAATCATTAACCATTTTGTCCGACACCAAGCCAGATAATCATGACAAGTTTGTTTAATATTTCACATGGAGTTCTGTATGATTACCTATTAATCAACTGAAACTTTCAAAACACAACTAACATGGGGTGCCTTACACCACTAGCATAATACTACAATTATTGCTACATATCCACTTGTAATCTGGGTCATTTCTTTAATATATAATTTAAATATAATTATAATATGATATAATATTTAAATATAACACATATTTAATAATAAATTGGTTAAAGTCTAAAACAGGTTTGTTTAATTTTTTTTTAATCCCTTTAACAATCCTTCACTGAAATTTTCCTTCAATAGGTTCGGGTTCCTTCATTGCCTTGTTGTGTCAATTATATGACATTTGATTTTCAAAGGTTATGCCACCTGAACAAAAGGAAAGTCTTGTCACAACAATAATAGCTAGCATTTAT